TTATTTCACCACGTACTCTCTCCATTCTCATGTCCTTGTCGTAAACAAATTCGAAATCATTCTGGATAAAGTAAAGCGATGAAAAACTATTATAGATATAATTTCTATAAAAAGAACCCTTTAAAGATCCTTAAACACAATTTTTTATGGTTTTATATCATAGATATAATGCTCAAATGAAGATTTGTCAATATTGTAAGTTCCAAAAAGCATTAATTGTAAAGACATTACCGAAGTTACATTCCATGCTTAAAAATGGAGGTAATTAGAAATTTATTTTCTGTGAAGTCTTAGTCACATTTTTTCAATAAGAAATGAATGCATATATTTTAATGATTAAAAATAATGTGGACAAATATTGGCAGTACATATTTTACATATTCTTCGATGTTTGAAAATTGTTTTAGAAGCATAGTTATATACATATATAAAATTTCACTTAAATGTTGTAACAACCTTAATTACAACATACAGGATCTTTTGAGAGAAAAAAAATACAAATGAGGACCTGTCTAAATAAAAAGGGACAAAAATGACCTTCTGAAGCGTATTATAAATTTAGTAGTAAAAAACAACTCAATTCGATAAACAAAAGTGTTGTGTAATGAATTATTCAAGCTTCATATGTTGTTGAATAATGCCTCATACAAATTCAAAAAAATCTATGGCAATTCGAATACAATTCTATTCAATCTGCATTTTACAATCTTAATAATGTAAAAAAAAACAAGACAATTAACATTGAAATGTGTACAGGAAACAACTATACAGCGGAAGTTTTCTTTCTATAAATACATAATTGGTATGAAAAATAAATACTTCATACGAGTGAAATATGATAATTTTCATACTACAATATGAAAATTAATCCTGTATTTTTAGAAAAAAAAACTTGAATTTTCTGTTTATTATATAATTTTTTCTCTCTTTTTTTTGACATTACAATTTGAAAGACTTACCCTTTAATTTTCTGTATTTACTGAATTTAGAAGAACCAGTGAAAATATGGAAAATATATTTCACTTGAGTGAAGCAATGATTTTTTTAGAGTGAAAGTACGGAAAATGAAAACACGCTTATTATTTCATCAATATTTCTCAATATTTTAATAATAAATACATAATAAAAAAATACGTACTGTTGTCATAAGAGGTACCGCGCTACCTGGCGCAACTGATGCACGTGTCACTCTCATTGTACCGTTCCATCTCTTACTTATACAGCACGGCTTTGTGGCACCGGCCGTCATCACATTGGCAAAAATACACACGGTTACTATTTCAACTAAAGCTAGCATTCTGTTTCAGGTAAGTGTTCAACTGAGAGATAAAGATCTATTTTACTCACTTCAATATTTAAGAGAATATCTGGACTACGTCATTGAAACATATTTCAAAACTTTTTATCAGCTGACATTTTATAGATTATAGGTGAAAGTTTTATAAAAAGGGCAAAATTTAGGCCACATAAGTCAGACCTATTTAGATCCTCTTTTTCAGAGGTTAATGTTCTCATTTTATTGTCATTTACGAACCATATAAGCTGAGCCTTTCATTTAAAGTAAGCCTTTCATTGAGATATGCTCTGAACATGTTTAGGGTCTTTCAAGAACATTCAGAAAGACATTTTGTTGGAATTTTTTTTTATTGTTTTGTTGTTGTTTTCAATTAATTTAGTACATTTAATATTGGCCGTTCTAATATTCCCACTTGAAAATTGTTTAATACATTGTCTGCTTTGAAAATGTGTCTTTAAACAGTTGTCTTGGGTCAACAGGCTTTATTTTCAAAATTTTATAATTTACAAAATATTTAATTTGATATCTTACTAAGGACACATATATTCATTTAGGTAACATATCATTTATTTTAGCTTGGGAGTTATAAGCTTATAGACACACTTTCGATTCCGTTCTTGGAACCAACCCGTATTGAGCAATAAGAGTAAAGTTCTTGCTCAAGGAAACAACGGCTTGCCTTTAGCGAGGTTTGAACCAATGCGGCTTACATGACTTGTCCAACGCGTTAACAACTCGACAATGCCGTCATTAACATTGATTTTAGATATGAACTATGTGCCACTTTCCATGGACTTGCAATAAACCTTATGAAAAAAATTACGGATGTTAAAGAAGTTTTAATAAAACAATATTCTATTTTAATGTCAAATTTTACTTAAGTCGGTGCTAAGCGGTATGGATCGTAGCTACCGTCCATGAAGAGAATCTGCAACTTTTTCAATTTAAGGTTTACGGACCCTGAAACCCACGTTTAGAAATGGTTACATACTTGATGATTTCTTGTTAAGCATCCATTAAGACACCCAAAGACATTTAATCAGCTTCACACATCCATTTATTTAATATTTCAATTCTCGAGGAAAATATTTTTCGGATTTTTTTTTACCCCCAGCAGAGCGTGTATCTTGTTATCATCAGAGTGTTGTGGAATATTTCCATTTTTCTAAAATCAGTTCGACTTCCTGTAATATTTAAAGGGAAGAACTGAATAAAAGTACAATTTTCATTGGTCATTTAAAAAATACAAACTAAAATCTAGGAATCTCACTGGCCATTCTAAAATAAAAGAAATAATAATATAAAGGATCTTTCTGAAATGTTTCACGCTTCTGATGCACGAGTTCCATGAGTTAAATAGATAAACTTATTAATATTTATTTCTATCTTGGCTAGAAGAGAAAATATTGCTTTTACTCGTATTGTGGTTAATTGAAAACAAAGTTACTTTTATTTAAGAAATAATTTAAGAGCAAAATATTTTAAAACAAAGCAATTTAAAACATTTCGAAATTCAAACAAGAATAATATAAATTTTCAAGATACATTTTGAAATTCCGTTTTGCTCTTGTAAATAAAGAAGTCTTATGGTGATTAGATTGTACATCTTTATTCATTACTTTGTCACGTGTTTATGTAGTGTACTTTTGTTTCAAATAGCACAGTGACCTTGACATGGCGTCAAAGAAATGTTCCATTTATTTAGATAATAAATTGTCATATCTTTTATTTTTCAACTGGCAAAGTTGACTATAAATGGTGTTTATCACATGACCCATAAGCACAAATACAATTAATATTTGAAATCTAAGATACCTCAAAAATGTCCTGATGTGAAATTAGCAACAGACAACGACATTTTGAAAATAATATGTTGATCTTTAATGAAATAAATTAAAAACTATATTATAAAACCTTTGCTATTTTGTTAGTTTGTTTTGTTGTTTTTTTTTAATTATGTCTGTTTATGACATAATGATGGCACGACCTGGCTTGGCTGAATTTTTTTGGGAGTTAGTGATGAAAGATTTCTGAAAAATCCGGGTAGATGGGGCTTTTTACATTCACTTTTTTAAAAGGCTTTCAAATCAGAAAAAATTTCCCTTTTCCAAAAAAATAACCCGATCATAAATTTAAAGGGACATGCACCCTTCCCCAAATTTAACAGTTTTATTTCTATAAGTCCCGTCCTTTTTCATTGAGTTTAGTATATCTTTTTATTCCAAAATAAATGAATTACCGGAATGTTGGGGTAACAGAATCTTTATCAGCTGTGAAGATACATGTATTTTGATTTACTGTTTAAATGCTGCTTAATACATCCTTAACTCTACCTATAAATTTGTAAGTAAATTGGAACACAATGATCTCATATTCATGGTGAATGATGCAACAAAATGAAGAATTGGTCGATATTGTAACTAACAATTCATCACCCTGACATGCCAATTTGTTACCGTCTTCATCGCCAACCGGCAACAGAAATCACTAAATAAGCGACCATACATTTTTCCAGCTACATTCGTGATCTCATGCGGGTACAGGGTTGCTTTTTTCTTGGCCTTCAGCTTTTCTAAGGGTTAAATATGTTATTTTTATAATTGTCAAATCAAAAAAAATCAGGTGAAAAAATGAGTTTTGACGTCATATATAAACAATAAGGAAATCCATCGATGCCTCCGCTCTCTAAATGTAAATTAGTAAAGCGGACACGGACACGAACTCACTGCTGCGTTATAAATAGCTTTCGGGACGCTGTTTTAAAGAAGGCTTAACAATGGTATGAAGCTCTTTTCCAAGATAAAACTATCGAAATACTTAGTTTGAAAACAACACTAAATGTGCCACGTCACGACAAAACCGACATAATGGGTTTGCGACCAGCATGGATCCAGACCAGCCTGCGCATCCGCGCAGTCTGATCAGGATCCATGTTGTTCGCTATCAGTTTCTCTACTTGCTATAGGATTTGTAAGCGAACAGCATGGATCCTGATCAGACTGCGCGGATGCGCAGTCTGGTCTGGATCCATGCTGGTCGCAAACCCACTATGTTGGTTTTGTCGTGACAGGGCTCAAATTGTTTTTCCAACAAAAAATAAAAGCTGAAGGCCGCTTAAAAATCCTTTCAAATTTTATTCTCACATTTTTATTTGCCTTTTCCATATCAACTTTTTTCTAACAAGCCAGATCGTTGGCATGAAATAATGATGTTATCTATCCTCACCGAGACAGAGCAAAATCAATTTTACCCCCTTCACTAGCAGTACATAAACAATTAATGGCCTTTGATAAAAAATACTTTTCAAGAATTGTTGCCATTAATAATCCGTAAAACTGCTTCCACCAGTGCAGACCAAGCTGCACATTCAGTTACATCTGATCACGGTCTAGAATTTTCCTATTTAGTCTGTACTTATTTTGAAAATTTTCTATAAACTGATCCAGACAACTCATTTTAAGATCTTAGCTCTGTAAGGCTTAGAAAAAAAACCCAATAAACTTTGCCATTTAAATCTACATGGAACTGACACCCAAATGTAACAACAAAATTTGTATTGGAAAGCATTGAAAATGAAATGCTTCCATTGGTTAGTTTTTAAAACACTGCTTAGCCAATCAGATTCTTGAATTTTAGACTGGTCTAGTTTTGTTCAAACTCTGGGCAACTTTTGGACCCAAACAAAAAAGTATAAACAGCCATATGAATAATATCCACTTTATTAAAAAAACAAACAGATCTGTTAATACAAATACATGTACAAGTTTGGTAACAAGCTTAAGCACAATGATATTTTTAACATGTATCTACGAAAACATGCTTTGTTTTTAATTACAATCTAAAACAAATGTATTGTGTGATTGTGATAGACTGGGAACCAGAAATTGGGTACCATCTTTGCCTCTAAGGTTGGAAGCTCGTATTTTCATATTTTTTTTCTTGTTGCTATATCTTAATTATAAAGATCACTTCCCTTGGTATATATTTACAATAAAAGCACTAAAGTTGTGCAAATAACATACTTTGCATATATCAGATGGCATCAATCAGCAAATGGTCTCATTCAAAGTTAAGGTTATATACTGTATATACATTAAATTTTGTAATTAACAAATTCAAGCTAAAACATTTGTCTTTTGCCATTTTTAAGCTGTAAAATTACAAACTTTTTAAGTTTGACATGTACTATCTAATTTATTAATGTACAAAAAGCTGATTTAATATAACATCTTATGACATACAACATGGATTTTCTGGTTTGATTAACATAAAATAAAATATTCTTGTAGTACATAACTGGAAAAATAAAGATAAATTTATACAGATTAATATATGTTGGCTAACTCAAACATGGAGGGTATATAGATTACAGTAACAATATCATCTATGAAACAATAAGACAAAATAGCAGTGCTTATGCCTGACTGAACAAACACATTACATGGCACTTATTTCCAGTTGCTTCTCCAATTATATTATGACCCAGATTTCGTACACATAAACAGCATTCTTATATATAGCATTAAATTCAGAATTCTAACACATCCTCAAATATAAATAAAAAATGTTCACAAACTTAAAGATATGGTCAATAGTCCCAAATGCCCAAAAACACAATATAAATCACTCAAGGCCAAAGAGTTAAACACAATTTATTTAATTGCAGACAGTATTTAATATTTATTAACTGTTTTTTGTTTTTGTTTTTGGTTATTTTTTTTTACTATCATGACTGCCTTTTGAAACCCCAATCAAAGATATCTGTTAGTTTATATGTAATTTATTTTTATTTTAGTTTGAACGCATATGAAGATATAAGCTTAGCAACAACTCATTTTTGAATCCATTCCTGAAACACCCAATACTGAACAATGAAGTGTAAAGTTTCTTGCTCAAGGAAGTTGACAGTGCCAGAACCCACGTGGCTATAGGTCTTAAGATTACTAGTCTGAAATGTTAACCACTAGGCCATGCTACCACACAAAATACTGTTCCCCGATATACTCTAACTCTGTATTATTGCCCGTAACTCTATTACCGGCATACTCTAAGTATTGTGTCATGTGCAGTCTTGCATAAGGTGAAGTTAAAAATCTTTTACCTCATTCAATTAAAAATTTAGAGATTAGTTGAATTTGTTCTGCTACACACAAAGTATTGATTATAAAAGTCATCAATGAAATTCAATGCACATATAGGAAACGTTAAGTGCCCCGATACTACAAAGTCCCATGCCATACAGTGTACATGTACCAGCATCTGTAATATTTTATACTATATTTAATCCTTTTAACCATATTTTCAGCCACTTTTAACCATATTTCAAGGCTTATTGACCATATGCTCAGCCTCTTTAACTGTGACTATATTCTTAGACTTAGGACTTTGAAAAGCAGGTCACTATTCATCAATTTCATTTTACAAATAAAGAAAACGAAAAAATGTAAATTTTAATATCATTAATTGTCAGCCATAATTCAAATGTATTGATAAAATTATTAATATTCTGTTTTACAAAGTCAAGAACCCATTATATATATATCAACACACACTAAGCCTGGTGTTCATTTGGTGCACATTTTTACAATGAAATTCAAAAGTCTAGTGGTCTAGTGCTACCTCTACATAGTTCACTACAATCAGTATCAAAAGCATACACCAAACACTAACATTTAAAAGCATGCCAAATTTCATTTAGCTTTCCACTAGAAAAAAAACAAAAAACAAAAATCACTACGGGTAATTTCTTTACTATTTACAGATTTGCTATGGCCTGACTTTTACATGGAATGTTGCTGAAATATCAATCCACAAAGTAGAAAATAAATACACCCACAACACTTAAGTTTCTATGGTATTTGACAAAATGATGATAACGTGCACGTGAAACACGATCCCTAGCACAGGGGAGATGACTCTCGTCACCTGATTCCTCTAATTTCACACTTGATGCTTTATAAGACATATATTTAATGAACCAGTCACACTGAAATCCTGAGGGAATCATTTCTAAGACATAAAATATGCATGTTTGAATATAAAATTTCTATGCTCAATAACGACCATTGATTAAACTTCTTTGCATGTATTTTTTTTTTTTTTTTCGAAGAATAGTGCTTTAAAAATCTAGGTCTTGGTGTTTTACAAAAAAAAAATCAAAATCAAAATCAAGGTATCTTACAAATAAAGAAAAATGCGGCTCGTGTTTTGAATCAATAATAGTGAAATATAGTATGGCAGTTCAATAAATCATGGATGGATTTGCAGATATTCATAAAGCTATGATGGACAAATAGGTATTACAGTAAATTATGTACAAAATGTAACGAAAATAGCCAGCGCCATGACTTTTAAAATATATCAACTTATTTTCTAGGCAAACAAATGATCAACAAAATGTAGTCTTGAACTTCAACAATATACCAGATGACTGACATACATGTTATATATGGTTTTTTAAAAATTGAATAATTCGATACAGAAAAAGTTACATGTTCATATATTCCAATACAAAACTGAAAATGAAGGTACATACATGTATGATAATCTTTTGTGAAAAAAAAGGAATGACTTTGGACTGTTATCAGTCCTTACAATTTGTTGTTGGTTTTTTTTGTGTCACATATTAAAGTGCATTCTTTAAAGTGGATTGGTCTACAATGGGCATATTTTCTATACAAGTATTTCAAATATTGATAAGAAAACGATACTAAAGTGTCACTTGGATATTCTTATAAAATATAACTTGAAAAAATATTTTTATAAAGTTCTAAGTCATTAAGTATGACCATTTATATGATGAATAATAATATTTTGTTCTAGAACATTTTATTATCTGCTATATAAATCTATGTTGTATCAGATTGTGTATCTCACACTTGCCAACAAAATCCATATATATTTCTTCTTTAGTTTAGTGTGATATCTGATACTAAATACTATCAACATGATTATTTCTTGTATTACAGACCTTCAATGATAGACCAATTTACTTTAATAAATCACTTACATTTTCATATCTTCTATACAAAAAATCAGCTGTTCTCAATATGTTATAAGTGGGTGGGGTGATGATCAAATCATTAAAACTGCACAATTTTACTGATAGAGATAGATCCACTTATAATACTAATATCAAAAGTGTCAAAATGTAATTAGCAGATCATGGTATCTTATGATATGGTCAATGCCATGTTGATTGTAACCAATAATCTGTATAATATACAATATCATGTGGATCCTAAAAAACAATATGGAAGATTACTTTACTTTAAGACAAATTTCACTGGTACTTGCATTGTTTATTGAGCATTAAGATGTTAAAATAGTGAGAAATACAATCCCTAATGAAAGTCCAAAACAGTAAAATTGAAAATGTTACAGGTTTGGTTTGATTAAGCCTGTTCATGGACAGAACTGGAAAAGTTCAAGGTACCATCCATGCTCCCTAGCACTTGGGACTTAGCAGAATTCAACATTTAAACATGGTTATGCTGAAATTAAAACTAGTTTAATGGAACATATAATTTCAAATATCATACAATCATAATGAAAAACCTTATATTCTACCGAAAATGTTCCATATAAAAATTCAAGTTCTTTATTGTCAAAAGACCAATTCCGAAAATCAGAACATGGTACAGAAATACACTGATTAAATGAAACCAGAGCTGACTTCAATTCCTAAAACACACTTCATATGAAATGTTGATTTTTGACATTATCTCAGTCATCAAGCTTTCATAACAATAACTGAAACAAATGATTATATAAATAAAGAAAAACAGAAAAGAAAAAACAATAATAAAGCCTGGTTTTACGTATTTCTAGGTAAAAAAAATAAGTAAAAAAGAAAAAAAAACAGCATCTTCACTCCATAAACACTGGAACAGCAATATCAGAACAAAATCTTAACTATAAATCATTAGTAATCTTTAACAAAAAAAAACAAAAAACAACATAACTGTTTCTTTTCAAGGTAAAGGACCTAATATAATGCTCAGCTTTTTACATCAAGTAAGTAAAAATATATAATTACATATAATTACTCTGATAAAACAAAAATGTTTTTTTTTACAAAATTTCCATTTCACAGGTCACATGACTTGATTCAATTATTCAAACACAGTAACTTCGAGCTTTAATCTACATAAATAACATCTTTGTATATTAAAATAAAGGGAGATAAATTCAATTTTAGGTTCAATGTAAATGGACAAAAAGTTCATTTTTTTTGACAGAAAAAAAAGGTCCAGTTACCATGGAAAACAGACTATCAATAAATAAACAAACTACCATAGCCATATATCATATATTAACACATATCTAAAGAATCTAACACTGTCTTACATAGACATTACATTGTCCTTTGATAGTCAACAATTTGTTTTGGATTTTTTTTAGTATATTACTAGTAAGCTAAATTGTAAAAACTAGATCTCCATCATGTCTTTAAATCCTCTGTGGGTCTTGAGCCTGCTGTCCTGGGAGATTTGGTGGCTTGGTTTCCTGCACCTTATGCCAAGGTGTTTCTTTGTACAGGAACCACATGTTACCTATCCACACACCCATGTTCAGGAATCCAAAGATCTAAAAAATATTTCAAAGAAATTGCATAAAGTCAGAAAAAACTGTGGAGAAAAGAAAAAGAAAATCTTTTTTTTTTTGGTATATCTAAGAACTGTAGAGCATTATTTTATTATTTTATTTTGATTGTGGGTTTTATGTCGCACCAACATAGTATAGACCATATGCTGACTTTCAAGCTTCACCGGTGCAGGAAGACCTTGACTGCCACTGCGTTATTTCAGGCACAAACAGGCACCCGAGTAGAACCACCTACGTTCTCTAAGTGTTGAGCATTATAACAGCTAAAGTTTATTCATATATAGATAGAAACAGTTACTGAAAATCCACAAAAATCCAGAATTCTTGCCACAGTCAAATTTCTGTTAGATAAAAAGAGAATTGTGCACAATCAGATTAAATTTGGCTTCTAAACTCAGGGGCGGCAAAATCAATTGTCTGTATTGCATAGGTTGTCTCACAGCCTGTATGGACAATCGGAAGTTTTCAAGAATTTACTATATAACAAGGAACATCGCAATGCGATGCAACCAGGTTTTCAGCAAAATATTTCACAGAAGCTTTGTCATGAAGGGGCATTTGTTTTTAATTGAACTTTTAGGAGGAATTATGGCTTTTTTAATATTCCTCAAACAAAAATGATTGAGAAATTTTATGTTGTCTATTCGCCTTTTTTCCCCAAATATTTTAGAAAGGTTAACAGTTCTTTATTTTTGCTTAATTTTTGCATTTTTGCGTCTCTTGTCATTTTCTTTTGTCAACAATATTGGCGTGTGGTGTTTTATGCGATATCAAGAAAAGTATGTTCACAATTTTAAAAAAATACTTGAATGATGTCTTGAAAGAAACATGGGAATTTAGTGAGCGCCAGGGCACTTGATGACAAAGCTTCTGTGAAAGTTTGGTCAAAATCCATTGAGAAATGTAGGAGAAGTTGCGCACTGTAGAAATTGTTCACTATATATTCTGTATAAGGAAAAAATATACAAAGGGCCATAATTCGGTCAAATATTATCCAATCACAAAACCCCGACAATATGTGCCAGGCACTTGATAACAAAGCTTCTAAGAAAGTTTGGTCAAAATCCGTTGAGAAATGTAGGAGGAGTTGAGCACAGAAGAAATTGTTCACTATATATTCTATATAAGAAAAAAAAACAAAGGGCCATAATTAGGTCAAATATATACCAATTGCAAAACCCTGGCAATATGTGACAGGGCACTTGATGACAAAGCTTCTGAGAAAGTTTGGTCAAAATCCGTTGAGAAATGTAGGAGGAGTTGCGCACAGAAGAAATTGTTCACTATATATTTTATATAAGGAAAAAAAAACAAAGGGCCATAATTAGGTCAAATATTATCTAATCGCAAAACCCCGACAATATGCGCCAGGGCACTTGATGACAAAGCTTCTGTGAAAGTTTGGTCAAAATCCTTTGAGAAATGTAGGAGGAGTTGTGCACAGAAGAAATTGTTTACGCCCGCCCGCCCGTCCGCCCATCCGCCCGCCGACATACCTCAATCTAATAACCAGTTTTTTCCTTCGGAAAACCTGGTTAAATATCATACAGACAAGCTAAGGCATGCTAAGTGAGTCAAAATCAGATTTTGCAAACCCTGAAACTGTGGTTTAACCTTTGACTGAAAGCATGAATTGCTTTAAATAGTAAAGATTTACACATGCTGATCACCATTCCTGAAATTTTGTCTCCAATTTAAACACTTTGTTTGAAGATGTAATTGGTAAGAATATTTCTTGGAAATTTTTTACAAGATTATTTTCTAATTCACTAAGAGAAGATCTTTGTCAGGGTGACATTAAAAGTAACATTATCACAGTTTTAGCTTCTATTTTAAGAGTAGTATTAAAACTTATGTAAATGATTAATCATCAATCCATCCATTACATAAACTTATGTAAATGATGAATTAGTAATATACACTTTAAACAAACTTATATAAATCATTAATTTGTTATCCAACCATTATATAAACATATATAAATGATAAATCAGTCATTTACATAAATATCATTTATATAACAGCAAATTTATTTCAGATTAATTGAGAAAAGTTATTTTTAAAACATATATTAATCACCCTTTCCTAATCTCGTTTTTTTATGGAATTTATCACTATAAATGTACCAATATTATAAAATAAACCTAAGGAAGACTGGTACAATTTTTTTTATCATATCTAGTATGACACAGTCAGAAATACTTAAACAGACTGAGTGCAAACTACGAAACATTTAAAGGAACTCCACTGAAGTTTAAAAGCCTAAAACATAAAATACGAATTTCTTACATAAATCAGCTGGGACACTTAAAACATAATGATATGCAAACGATAATAAGAAATATTATTACTAAGAAATAAATTGATAATCTAATTTTTGTGCTATTCTGTGCCCAATTTGAGTGAAGAGCATTGCAACACTTCAATTTTCGGTCATTTTTCGTAATAAGAATGATAATTTCGGAAAAACGGAGTAAGCGAATTATCTAAAATTTTGCGCACAAGTTATTATTCTTGACCTTCATCATATGAAACATTAATCTCAAAACATTATTTCCAGTCCTCTAATGTCCAAAAACCGCTCAGTGGAGTAACTTTAATTCTCTCCATGTCAATTGAATAGATATATTTTACTTACTATAGAAACATTAAGGCTTGCAAAGTTTGGTATGACGGTCTGCCTACATGTATTCCCTGCAACTTTGCAGTCAGCGATCATACCAAAATAACCACACTCCTCGAAATCAGTGTAGTACTTGAGGTCTGTGACGCCCTGAGCCCAAGCTGAGGATCCGATCAACCACAACAATACAATCACACCAGAGATGATGAAGTCCTAAAGATAATAAAACACAAGATACATGCAATTTATGTTTCTTACAACAAAAAAAACACAAAAAAAAACAAAAGGTCCTTGTTCCAAATGGTAGAGAGCTTAATATTTAGACTGATTTAATTTATATAAGAATCCTACCAAAGTTCTTAGATGAAAAGAATGATGGTTACCAAGTTTGTAAAAGTGAGATTGACTAAATTATGAGGGAATTCATTGCCAAAATATTTCGTCAGAAATCTTTTTCTTTTTTTTTTTTTTTTTTTTGGGGGGGGGGGGGGGGGGGGGGGAGTAGCCAGAACAGGCATCAGAGTCAGAACTAACAATGTTTGAAAAACTAGCTGGGTAGTTTCCACACATGAAAGAATTCAAAGTTCCTGTTGGGATTTGAACCCAAAAGGGTGAAGGACAAGTGGTTTGAAGTTAACAACCTTAACCACTTGGCCACGGCCGCCCCTAATAAAAAATTTCATGTGTGTAAAAATAACTGAAGCAATTTTTGAGAACTGAGAAATAAAATTTGAATTTCTATTTAAGTATACTCAAGTATTTCACTACTTATTATTGCATTAAACCTATGTTCTGTTGACAAAATTAATGACAAACATATGGTGAGAAATTTTCAGAATAGATATTTAAGGTAAAGGTCAATTTGGAGATAAAGGAATATTTAAATATGTCAAAATGAGTCTCTCCTTCACAGTTATAGTGTGAACAAGTAAAGAAACTCTTCTAGCTTAATGAATAAAGATAGTAATTTCCAAACAGACAGACAAACAGACACAGTTCACTGTTCAGGACAAAAAAAACAAAATGTTGTGTAATCAAACACTAATTCTGGGGCATAAAAATCAAACCCTTACAGCATAAGGGCCATTTCAGTTTGCGAAAATAGCAAAAGTATTTCCGTTTACAAAACAAAAAGTTCCAAATCAGTAAATTTTATAATTGACAGCTAATGTAAGGGAAGGTTCTAAGAGTCAATGATATTCCACAATTCTTTATTATCATTAATGAACAAATAATACTGGAACTTTTCATTATAGAAATTTTTACACTTAAGTTTGTATTTCTGCCAAGTGCTGCAATACAAATTAATTGACTAATTAATTGGCACAGACACTTTAGTTTCCAAGGCCAACCAGTACTATAGACACTCGCAGACAATTGAACAATTACAAGCTATGAGATCATTATACAAGTGCATCAGAACAATCATCTATGTCTGTTTCAATTTTTAAGGCCCATTATGCTTCAGAAACATTATCATTTAATTTTAAAGGCCCATTACACTTAAGATACCTATCATTTTTTATTTAAAAAAAAACAAAAACAAAAAAACAAAACAAAAAACTTTTTATTTACCAAAGTAATGTAACAGTCCCCTCCTTAAAAGCCCCAACTCATTTATATATAAACCATTGTTTGCTTCTTTTGCTCTTTAGGCAATTGGTTTATTTAAATTGAATAAGTATTTTGTATGGAAGCCAAAATACTGCTTAAATTGTTTACATTTTGCTACCTTTACAACATATTATTCCATATTCAGCTCTTCTTTCTTCAACTGTTAAAACATCTAAGATGAGCTTAGTCCATTATTTAAACATTTGTTGATTAAAATTATATCTGAATGTCTAAGGCATAATGTGCCTTTAAATCATTATCTCATGCAAAGCAATGGAATTGGCCAGTATTTAATCCATACCCTGCTAATTAATAACTATCTTAAACAAACTTGTCCATCTTTCAACCTGGACAATACCATTCATCATTTCCATAGAAAATTTCAAAATATATACTGAGTGTTAAGCAAACAGTGCAGACCATGATCAGATAGTGACAAATGTGCTCAGCACTGGTCACATGGTAACATTTAGTTGTTAATGACGGCCTATGATTTCTAATAGAATCAGAAAATGTACTTTATTGAGTGGCCGACAGTACAGTGTAAATTCTTTTTAAACAACAAGGATTTGCATGCTGGTATTTAATGCTTTTTATAATGCTATGTAACAGGCTGAGGCAATTTTGTATTTGAAACTGTCATTAAATTATCAAAGACATTATAATTTCATAATATCAAATAAATTGGCCAAAAGTATAATAGGCTGCAAATGATCTGAAATTTTGCACACAAGTTACTGGTTTAGATCTTCATCAAATGGAACAATAATCTAAAAAATAATATTTCCAGCCCTGTCGGGTAAAAAAACCTCAGTGGAGCCCCTTTAATATTGCATTATGTTCAGAGAGATAATAATTTAATTATTCAGGCTCTCTGATTAGACTTTCTATTGCTGGCAGCTTGATTTTTACATTATTTTTATCTAAATCCATTTAACTTTGAACTTACTGTTTTAAAATTCAAAGCACGGAAAATCCATCACACAAATTTATCAGGTTAAGAGATAAAGAAAAAACTTCAGCAATCCATAAAATTGTTTATTAATTATTTTTTTTACTACATGACATAACTAAGCTTAGAAAATTCACTATTTATACAGGATTGTCTATAGCACACAAATTGAGAAATTAAGGCAAAAATTTTATAAAATTATCCGCCTATGTTCTTTTTTTGTAAACAATTTTACAGGAAGTAAATCTAGGCGAGGAAAAGTGTCTGTCACACATGATTGATCTTGGAATAGTGTGACTTGTGTGACAAATGAGCCGATATGAAAATAACTCAACGACAGTGTGCATGAACTTCAAGGACCGAACTTATATTCCCTAATAGCTCTAACAGTCTATCTCAATACATTACCACTATTTCAGGAAAAATTTTAAAATATAAGGAAATTGTCGGCAAATGTTCACAAAACCACTTCTGTTTTGCCAGTAAAAGCAAGATATTAAACTAAAGTTGTTATTGTTCCTATTATATTTTTTATGCAAACTGACAAAAAGACAAACTACAAATACAACTGAGAATACTATTAATTTAATTTGCATTAGAATTCAATATTTCAAGTGAAAATACAATTCTGCCAGTATTATCCGTTGAATCTATGAGATTTAAATCTCTATTTTAATGTCACAGGTATCTGTTGGCAATATCTCTCTCAGATAATCTTTGCATAAATGAAAATTAAACAAACCTGTGACATTAAAGAATGGGATAAGTAACTGGAGATCAGTGCCGTGTAATCTTTTCGTCCAATCAGAGCCACTTGCTGCCATTTTGTCATGTTGATTATTGTGAAAAGACTTTTTTATTTGTTTGGGTCATCAGCCGAAATGTTGGTATATTAAAGGGAAATATAGAATTTACAGTTGACTACTTATTTTTTACTATTTACTGAACAAACATAACACGATAGGTAATAAGATATTTTACATACCCCAATAGTACAGGCATTGTGTTTCCTGTAGAAGTCATCACAGAATATGTACATAACAAGTGCAGCTAGACAGTACAGAAAGACCATTACACCAACAAAAACGTAGAACTGAGATGGTGATTGGCTGCCTTGTAACAAGTTTAATGATTGTGTAACGTTACATACTACCCCAGAAAATCCGACCTCTTCAAGTCTGAAAATAAAAGAAGAAATAACTTTTCATAGCATATATCTATCTATATATAAAACCTTATATAAGGCATTTTCTCCCCCACCACCAGGGGCCAATATAAGGCCCTATTCCAAATGCAAAATAACTTCTTTTTCCTACTATTGACCATTAATGTCGAAAATTTAACTAAGTCGGTAAACAGGAAGTGGATAAGCGACTGACCTAAAATCACATCCGACGGTATGGGACCACAGAGAAAACTGTAATGAAACAGCAAAATAGTCGAGCTAAAAATGTTGTATTGCAAGGAAACCACTTTTACATAATCCTTTCAGGACTATAATTCAGTTAGACTAGTATGTATTAATTCAAATTAAAGTTTTTGCCCTAAAGGTGCATTACTGATGTTTGCAGTAACATGTGATAGCAAATATCAAGAAAGAATCCATCAACCTATATTGACAGCAGATACATAATATCAGTCTGTCATTGGCTGAAAATAATGTATTGACGAAGTGGCTGCCAGATACATTTGTATTGGCAATTTATAAATACATCCTTAAAAGTGAGTCAAGGAAGAAAATTCCTGAAGTTTAATGCAGATAAATGAGATAATATTGGGACAATATAAGGACATATAAATTTCATTAACTGCACAATATGGAGTTATGTATACATGTATTCCCTAAAGTTAGTTATTAGTAAATTAGCTCACCTGCAACCCGAGAAAGGGGTGGGGGGTTAAGGGGAATATTTTAACTTGTCTTTCAATGACAGCTGTCACCATAAATCACTTATTTCTTTTACTTTATAACTTAGAAAAATGGGTCAAAGACAGAAAAGACCGGGTTGCATTTGTATACCAAATATCATGATGCTATGATAAGTAGTTGCTGAGAAAACTGTAAGGAAAAGTTTTTCCCCGCCGGCCTGCCACCCACTGCCTGCCCCCCGCCCAACATTCACCATACTATTACCAGGGGTTTGCACTAATAAATCAAGGTGACCTTGATTGATATTTCATTGATAAGTCAAGGTTTATAGTTCTCCATTTTTTAACCATTATTAGAATATGCCTTCTTGGTGATTCTTAATGTAACCTTGACCTCTTCTATAAAATCATATACTCGGAATTGAATCAAAAGATCTCTATAGTTTGATCTGTATTGCAGAAAATTTGAAACAATTGCTACAAGATTTAACTCTCTACGAAAAAACATACAACTCTGTGACCTTGACCTCTAAGATAGCAGCCATTGTGTAAACTTTATTATCTGATTCAGAGTAAAGAAAATAATTTCACTTAAACTTTAACATAGGAATGTCTGATTGTAATCAAATGAAGGAATGTGATTGGTAGTTTGATTCAAATGGAAATATCTGAAAAGGGCATGTGATTCAAATTAAGGGACATGATTTGTTGTTCAGATTCGAATGTTAGAATTTGATTGAAGTTTAATTAAAATGAGGACATGTTATTCCAAGGTAGGAATGTAATTGGTTGTCTAATTCAAAGGGAAGAATGAAATAAACCATGTGATTCCGAAAGAGGAATGTGATTGGTTCTTTGGTTCAAATGCAAGAATATGATTGGTTGTTTGGTTCACATGCATAAATCTTTGTCAATGTTAGCATGACTGAGAATGGCATACAAACAGAAAATTATGTTTAGAAGAATGGTCTTTTGTATACGTAAACGAGGATAAAAATTATGTAGTGCAAAATGCTTCAAGGAAAAATTGTTACAAATTAAATTCCATGTAAATCTTAACAGTTCATCAACAGCACATCTTACCATCTTATAAATCACTACACTTATCACTTATTTAGACAGGTTTTTTTTCTATCCTCTAGCTGATTTGATACAGAAGGTAATCAATACACTAATAGATTTTGTTTGTGATTTGGAGGACATGGATTTTAATTAAAGATGTTAAATGGACCCTTAGGTATCATTCGTCATGTCTGTGATTCAGCAGTTCAGACAAGTTTTATGTTGTATTTTACAGCTTTCAGTATATAAATGGAAATGTAACATAGCTCTATTCACCTCTATCTTACAGTACAAGCATCTTTATATCTTAAAACTTTCAAGACTGACAGCTTCTATAGAAAAATCTTTGGCAGTTATTCATTTACATCTTTACATTTAAAACACCTCTTGAAAACAAACAGATAAATCCAATTTGTTGTGAGAGTTTCAACTCAGCAAAAATTGGTAAATGTTTAAAACCTATGCTATGGCTTTGGTGAAGAATGTTTTGTTGTTGTTTCTTTTTGTCAAAGAAAATTATCACTTTTTTATTATATAGCAGTTGCAGTATCATATCTTCTTCTTCAGCTGCCTGTCTTAAGAAATTACCTGTTCTGTCAAATCTTCTATTGATTCCAAATGATGATTAACTCATTAATTAGAAGAATACTTATTGTAAGTGGTGGTAGTGTTGGTAGTTTACCATCCGGATCACAGTAGTATTTACCAGAGCTCAGTTTGGTAACCACATCATTCCTGGGATTGGCTTTCAAGCAGTTTACCAGTACTAGCTGCCTTTACTTTCACAAGGAACTGATAACTTCTGTACATGCAAGAGCAGAGGTACAATGCAATCACTGTAGAAAGGAATTAATGATCAATTACAACCAAAATGACTCTGTACCATTCAGGAAATGAACCCAGGTCCCCCAGTCCACAGTCAAGCGCTCCACCTATTGAGCTAAGTTAACTGTATTTATTACATATTGCATGTTGACATTATTATAACTTAAATACTCACGCAAATGGATAGCTTGAAGATATATCAAAGGAGTGTGAGGTTGTCGCAGTACCATTATCCATACATTTAGACATGAACTGCATCTTCAATGTTACACTTGTTGTAGTTGCAAAAGCAAAAATTGATAATATCTGAAAATAAAGAAAAAATATATAGGGAACCAGTCATAATTTTTTTTATCACGAGTGACATTTTATAACCAGTCTAGAAATTCATTCCAAATTTAGCATATTGATGTTCTTCTTGGAACTGCAATTTCATGCTATCAAATGTTCCAATTTATCTAATGAACTTTCTGAAATTACATACAATTTGATGCCTTCTTCTATGGCGCTGAACAATTATGCTGATTTCCCGAATGAAAGCAAAATTAGAGGTGCATTTTTCTCCTCTGCCACTATGAAAATTTTATGAAATTATTTTACAAGTTAGCACTCTAATGATCTGACTCAATCTTAAATTTCTAGCTTTCATAACCTAGATTATTGAACAATTCCAATAAAAAAAGACACAACACTTTTTTCCAAGTGATCTGGTTAAACAATATACATGACTGTATGAAAATGAAATATTAAGTTTAGTTTAAACAAATGTATTTAAATTATATAGTTTTGAGAGTTTTCTCCCTCCCATCACAACAACATTATCAATAGATATTATCTGTAACTTGGCACATGCATGCTGGACTTTCCAAGTTATCATTCACAAATAAAAACAAACTTTCACCATTTCAACTTCATACAGGCTAGTCAATCTGTTGCATTTATTTTCGAAGTTGTGTGTAATTCTATGCTTAATGAGGTTCCATTATTCCGCCACCCTTTCAGGCACTGGGAGTACTCGGACCCGTTTTCGAAGTTGTAACCCTAAAAGCTTATTTGTAGCCTCGGAAAAGCTGGGAAAACCCATTTTCAAAATTCATGTAAGGGCTTATGGTAATCAAGGTCAAATCTTCTGTGTCAACTGGCTAATCAGCTTACTAATACAAATCAAATACGGCACTCAGCCTCACAATGATGAACATTTGTGCCAAATTATATTGAAATCCCTCTATGCATGTAGAAGTTTTGCTCCAGACAAGCGTTTTTCTATGAGCTCTAACTGTGACCTTCACCTTTGACCTAGAGACTTGGTTCATGTGCAGGGCACTACGTCTCATAGTGGTGAACAATTCTATAAAGTAACATTAAAATTCCTCCATGCATGTAGAAAATATGCTCCGGACAACATCTGGATATTTAATCATCTCCAGTGACCTTGACCTTGCAAATATTAACCTAAATTAAATGTGTCACACCTGTAGTCATGATAGTTACCATTTGTGCTACAATCCATCAATAAATAATGACTAAATGGTCCCTATACACATCTTCAATTTTTTATCTGAACTTTGACCTCTATGTGTAACCTTGACTTTGGTCGCAGGGATCTGAATTTTGCGAGCGACACTCAGCCTCACAATGGTGAACATTTGTGCCAAGTTATATTGAAATCCCCCTATGAATGTAGAAGTTTTGCTCCGGACAAGCGTTTTTCAATGAGCTCTAAGTGTGACCTTGACCTTTGACCTGGAGACCTGGATCATGCCTGGAGCAATACATATCATGGTGGTGAACATTTCCATAAAGTATTATACAAATTCATCCATACATGTAGGAGATATGCTCCAGACAAAATCTGGATATTTCACCATCTTTAGTGACCTTGACCTTGCATATATTGACCTAAAGTACAAGTGTCACAGCCGTAGTCATGATAATGACCATTTGTGTTACAATCCCTCAATAAATAAGTGACCTTGACCTTGGCTGCAGGGACCTGAATTTTGTGCGCGACACTCCGCCTCACAATAGTGAACATTTTTGCCAAGTTATATTGAAATCCCTCTATGCATGTAGAAGTTTTGCTCCGGACAAGCGTTTTTCAATGAGCTCTAAGTGTGACCTTGACCTTTGACCTAGAGACCTAGTTCATGTGCATGACATGGCTTCTCATAATGGTGAACATTTCTATGAAATTTCATTAAAATCCCTCCATGCGTGTAGGAGATATGCTCCAGACAAAATCTGGATATTTCATCATCTTTAGTGACCTTGACCTTGTATATATTGACCTAAATTATATGTATCACAGCCATAGTCTTGATAATGACCATTTGTGTTACAATCCCTCAATAAATGATGACTAAATGGTCCATATACACATCTTCATATTTTTATCTAAACTTTGACCTCTATGTGTGACCTTGACCTTGGCCGCAAGGACCTGAATCTTGCGCGCGACACTCCACCTCACAATGGTGAACATTTGTGCCAAGTAATATTGAAATCCCTCTATACATGTGGAAGTTTTGCTCCGGACAAGCATTTTTCAATGTGCTCTAAGTGTGACCTTGACCTTTGACCTAGAGACCTGGTTCATGTGCGCGACACTGCTCCTCATAGTGGTGAACATTTCTATGAAGTTTCATTAAAATCCCTCCATACATGTAGGAGATATGCTCCGGACAAAATTGGACGCCGCCCGCCCGCCCGCCAGGGGCGTTCCCATAATACGTCCCGTTTTTCAAACGGGCGTATAATTAGGGCTTGTAACGACTTTAACTGTTTTTAACACAGATGTAAATAATCCTGGAGCTTACTATAAGGATGTATATTTATAAAGAATCAAAGGGCTGCAAGTTCTGTGGTATTTTCTGATCTTTGCAATCTAAATCGTACTGTATATCTGTGTGTATTTTCCTGTATAAGTTTATTTTTATGTATTATAATTCATTTTGCAAGGCACCAGAGTTTGATACATACGGAATTCTGCATAACTAGAGTTGCATCAAAATATCATTTATGTTCATTTTTTACGACAGCTACACTTTATCCTTGCATATCATGGCTACTTCCTTAACAAAGACACTTAAAAAAGAATTTAAAAAAAAAGTTTCCTCGACTGGGATTTGAACTCCAGACCTCTCGCACACTAAGCGAGCGCGTTACCCCTGCACCACGGAGAAGTTATACAATCAATGTCTGAATAACATCAAGTCATTCTAAATTTAGAACTTCCATTGCATTTCGGGTTTGTAATCCTTATTAATTTCGAGGTATTTTGTTCAGGATAAACCTGTTGTTTAGAATTGAAGTAAATAATTTAGCGAAAATCTTCTCGCCCAAACAGTCCGACATGTAGAATCTATATATTCCACTACTCGGTTTGTGTAGTATTCGGTAATCGACATCGCTATAAATAGTATTTTCATTGATAAAATCATATTCATCCGCGTAAATTGTGATTGTGCATTTATTGACAATTCTATAAGCCAACGCTATTTTTAAACTTTGAATGCGTTGTAATTTGTTGGATACTTGTAACAAAATAAAAATATTTCTTTCTTTTAAATCACTAGTTTTAAGCTGTTTTGAGAACTACTTGTTAGGTTTGTTGTAATCTTCTGTGTCAGAGATTGAATGTCCGCTTTGTATTTACTTATTTTCGATCAGAAAATACAGTTAAACAATATTAGAAATCTTCGACCATTCGGGAATTATTTTGCTTGAAAATTAATGTGCCTGTCTGTGACCAACTTTACGCAGTGATCTCCCCTGAATTTTTCGGCGTTAGTGTACATATAAAGGGAAGTAACCGCTTCAAAAAAGTGGACTACTTTCGGCATTTGCAATTAACAGCATTAGACTCTGAAATTTCGCTACCATTATTTGTTTGGTCTGACGACCCAAACAAATAAAAATTAGTATTTCTACAAAATAGCGAAATAAAAAACTTGAATATAATTTCCTATGAACTTCATAATGTGTTTGTCTGACTTGAAAGTGTACTTAAAGTACCAAACTTATAAAATTATTGAGTAGGACATGGTTAAATACTACAATAGGGAACTAAACAAGAGGCCACAAATAAATATAATTTTCTATGAAAACCTGTTTGTCAATCCTTTCTATTATTTTTTTTTTTAAAGTTATTTTTGACCTTTTACATCATAGTAAAGCAAAGTGAAAAAAAAAATATTTTAAAAAATTTTCAATTTAAGGAAAAGCTCCCTAAAGTTTCAACAACTTCTGTCCATTGTTCCAATATAAGATGCAACTAAGACATGTGCCAATAACAACGAGGGATAAAATTACTTGGCAAAAACTCATCTCAAATTTCCATGAGCTAAGAACATTGCAATTATCAGCATTCAATAAAGGCTTGTGAAGCTCAGTTAAAACTTCAGGAGCCTTAAAATAAGTACCCATTGTTATTCAAAGACTTAACAGCTTTTCAACATTTTTTTTCTCTCCAAAGTATTATATATCTGACTAGATATATTGAGAGAGAAGGCTCATGGGAATGAATGTAATATTGCTACACAAATTGCAGTAAAACCCAATTACTCCCTTGAAACCTGGTACAGACTATTAATGTACTCTGGCTCAGCTTTTAAGTAATATAAACCATCACATTCATGTATTATTCTTTAAAGAATAAAGATTTAGAAACAAAATGAAGGCCAAATATGGTAATGATGGCAAATGAAACAATAGCAGTATTGAATGATCAAAACTTTATCTTCTCAAGGCTTATATTCCTCTTATAGTAGGGGTCATTAAAGGGCACTTTTTCCCCATAGAAAAATTTGTTTAAAATGTGCAGTTTTCCCCTTAAATGGACAACCTGTGACTTCCAGGTTCCAGCAGGTTATGGGTTAACACAGGTGAATTTAGCCAATTACAAGATTGCTTCTAAAATATATAATGTAATAAACATACATCTGAAGTAATTAATATTGCCGTTTTGCAATGCTATTATACTGATGTATCAAAAAAACATTGTTACAGCACCATTCATTCAGCTTGAAAACATAAAATTTCCAAAACAGTCAGAAAACATAAAATTACTACAAATTCCCACAAAAAATGCCATGAGATTTCAGTGCATATATAAATCATTGGCATACATGATAAACACAGCTTGAGACAGTTTTTATATCAAAAGTATGGTGTAAATCATTTATAATTACAATAACGGAAACTAAAATAACATTAATATTTTGCGTCCATGAATTACTGCCAACAAAAAATCTAACAATGTAATGGGCAACATAGGATTACAATAATACTTTAGAATAAGGAAAATT